CCATATAGAAACACACTGACAGTGCTTCCCTACAGGAGGGTTGACAACCCTCCCAACCAGTCCTGCCTTTATTAGAATCCTTTTAGCTACTTCTCTGCTTCTTTTTCAACTTTAGTTTATGTTCCAGAAAAAGCCATTTCTGTGGTTTCTATTTATTTATAATTCATCAGTACATTACATTTCCTCTGCTGTTCTGCTCTTTGTAAAGAAATGTTGAGACAGGCTGAAGTTACCTTTTAGATAGAAAAAAAATCACTTCCTACTAAATCCAGTGTGAACACAAGTACTGAATGATGTTGCTGAAACTTTTTGGATCTGAAACTCGGTCATTATAGTTGAAACAAGCATGACTGACTTGGTTATCTGCCTAAGAAAAGCTGAGCAAATGAGAAATCCTTGGGACTGACTGGTTTGTTGTGGTTGGTTGATCAACGTGTCTCTAGGGCAGACATTAACCCTCAGAAGATTCTTTAACTTTATGACCATTGGTGTAAAAAATACAGCTCATCTTGCTTTAAAATACCACTTTCTTATTTTTACATCTCCCCACAATAAACTAGTCAATCTTTTAGAGCTGTCTCTAAAAATAAAAATATCACATTTAAATGACTTTAAAAATTGTAACTCTTAGACCCCCTCTACATTTCATTTTTATTGATTTATGGCAAATTTGAAAAATAAAATAAAATAAAATATTTTAAAAAGTAGGCACAATGGTGTTTATTGACTGCACCACAAAAATAAAAACAGGCACAAAAATAAATGAGTGGCTTATTTTTCCCCTAAGACCTTCTGAGGGTTAAGTGAACGATGACAGATATGTTCTCTAAGATCATCAGCATCTTCTAATCTTTCACATCTAACGTCTGATCGCCCACCTGCTGCTGAAGTGAGTGTGTTTACTACACACACATCAGTGCAGATGTAGGACTTTTGGCTGTTTTCTTTACTCCAGCTCAGTCCATTGATGGAGGCGGGTTTGTCCCAGCTGTTCGTGTTGTGTCCGTGCTTCCTCTGGTGGCGTTTGTAGTTGTCCCAGTGGCCCGTGGTGTAGCCACACTCAGCGCAGGAGTATGGTTTCTCACCCGTGTGCCTCAGCATGTGCCTCTTCAGGTTCATGCTTTGGTTGCAGGAGTAGCCGCAGACGCTGCATTGGAAAGGCTTGGCACCCGAGTGGATGCGCTCGTGGCGCCGCAGGTTGGCCAGGTTACCGCACGCGTAGCTGCATGCTAGGCACTGGTAAGGTTTCTCACCTGTGTGCACGCGTGTGTGGCGCTTCAGGTTATCGAGGTGGGACGAGGTGTAGGAGCAGTGTGGGCAGCTGTGGGGTTTCTCCTCGGAGTGGGTGTGGGAGTGGCGGGACAAGTGGTTGGGGTAGTGGGACAGGAAGGGGCAGTGAGGGCAGCGGTACAGCTTAGTGCCACGCCGACCCCGCCTGGGCCCCCGGGGAGCCACGGAGCTGCAGGAAGACCTCGATTCATCTTTGGGCAGCAAGTCCAGCGAGCAGCGGCGACACACCTGAAAACACAAAGATCTGGTGAAGGCGTTCTCTCTGCTGACTTTAATTTACTCAAGGATCTCAGTACTGTGTCTGTATACCCCCCCCCCCCCAAAAAAAAATAAAAATAAAATAAAAGAATACAGAAGTGATAAAATGTTAGACATTTACAGGAACCATTATAAGAAGAAAAGTGTACTTTGTTCCCCAGCTTTTTGACTGTCAGAATGAGAGTTGAACCTGTTGATGGACACAAACAATTGATAGCCTAAATCAAATTAAGTTATTAGCAATAGTTTTTTCTATAAACACCATAGTGTATCATATCTCATTGATATAAGATGATGTTTTGGTTATTTTTTGTCCTCATCTAAGCTTCTGTGGTATTTTTGTTTTTCTTTTTAAAAGTAGTGCGACCCCTGCTGGTTGCCACATGACCTGCGCACCTGTTCCCCCATGTTTTTGTCGTGTGTGTCTTCTTGAATGGGTGTTCTTAAATGTAATTTCATTGTGCTCTGTACAATGACAATAATATAGGTGTCAATCAATCAATCAATCAATCAATCAATCAATCAATCAATCGACTGCACACAAACAGGTGTTTACATTCTGGGTTTTATATTCGGGCACTGACGAAGGATATGTGCATATGTGTATGTACACTGGTTTGCAAAAGTATTCATACCCCTTGAACTTTTCCATATTTTGTCACATTACAACCACAAACATAAATATATTTCACTGGAATTTAAT